GAGTTCAGCCTCCTCCCTGTTAGCTCATGAATAGGTAAAGCACACACACACACACACACACACACACACACACACACACCTGTGCAGGTGACACACTGATCTGACTGACTGCACCTGCTGTTGTTAGCAGTGTTTCACATGCCAAACCCACTTTTCACGCTACTCATTGTGTGTGTGTGTGTGTGTGTGTGTGTGTGTGTGTGTGTGTGTGTGTGTGTGTGTGTGTGTGTGTGTGTTTAGATTGAGCTCATCGGAGTCAGAATTGACCTTATGCATTGAGACTGATTTAATGTCGGGTGTGAAATGTCATGCCATTATAAGCTCGGCACATTTAAAGCGACAGCGCACCCTTAAGAGTCAATTCTGTCCTCATCATCCTCCAAACCTGTGTGAGTTTCTTTCTTCTGTTGAACGCTATTGAAGATATACTGAAGCCATGACTTACGGTATATTCTGCTCCTACTATGGATATCAACAGCTGCACTTTCTTCAGTATGCCTTGTTTAGGAAGTGCTGAACACATATTCATCCGGTTTTACAGTGGAAAAACTAAATCAATCATTAGGTCTATAATTATTTGACTATATTTTGATCATAAATTGAGCACTAAACTACGGATGCTGTTAAAGGAACCACCAAACACTCACAGGACGAAAACTCTAAAAGGTTCAAGTAAATCCTGTAGTGTTTTTGAACCAATACTATGGTAAAGCACTAGAAGAAATCAGCTGTGGAGAATTTACAGTTGCTATGGTAACTCAACAACTATAGTAATTGATCTGTTGTGGTGATTCTACAGTTGCTATGGTAACTCAACAACTATAGTAATTGATCTGTTGTGGTGATTCTACAGTTGCTATGGTAACTCAACAACTATAGTAATTGATCTGTTGTGGTGATTCTACAGTTGCTATGGTAACTCAACAACTATAGTAATTGATCTGTTGTGGTGATTCTACAGTTGCTATGGTAACTCAACAACTATAGTAATTGATCTGTTGTGGTGATTCTACAGTTGCTATAGTAACACAACAACTACAATTGTTGATCTGTTGTGGTGATTCTATAGTTGCTATGGTAACACAACAACTATAGTAATTGATCTGTTGTGGTGATTCTAAAGTTGCTATGGTAACACAACAACTACAATAGTTGATCTGTTGTGGTTATTCTATAGTTGCTATGGTAACACAACATCTATAGCAATGGAACTGTTGTGGTGATTGTAAAGTTGCTATGGTAACACAACGACTATTCCAATCAATCTGTTGTGATGATTCTACAGTTGCTATGGTAACAAAACAACTATAATAATGGAACTGTTGTGGTGATTCTACAGTTGCTATGGTAACACAATTACTATAGTGATTGATCTGTTGTGATGTTTGTACAGTTGCTATGGTAACACAACAACTACAATAGTTGATCTGTTGTGGTGATTCTACAGTTGCTATGGTAACACAACAATTATACTAATTGATCTGTTGTGGTGATTCTACAGTTGCTATGGTAACTATTGATTGGTTGCTATGTGTGTGTGTGTGTGTGTGTTTGCTGCAGTAAAAACTAAATACTACAGTATTTATTACAGTATTTATCAGTTCACTATAGCTATATTCGCTGAATATTTGCTCTTTTACTGTATGCTGGAGTATTCATTAACAAAGAGTCATAGTTACTATAATATATCACACATTATAAATGATTAAATTATTAAAATAAGCTTCAAAAACACTAGTAATTACTATAAATTACATCTATTATGTTATATCAGAAGGCTTTGTCATCAGAGAATTATGCTTTGTTCACCTCCCACATGCTCAGGGTTTAATGAACTGTTACTCAGTAATGTTATTCCAAATATCAGTCCAAACAGAACTGAAAGGTCTGGTTCCAGTTGTTCCAGCTCTTTAATTTCAGCCGACATCATCATCATTGCTCAGCCATCTGTCATGCAGAGACAATAACACTAATCCTGGAGCTCCAGTTTGCATTATTCTTGATCATCCCTGCATGCGCAAAAATGACTGTGATGATCTATTATGCTCTTAAAGAGACAGTACACACAAACATGAACATTAGGTCATCCTTTATTTGTTGCAGACCTGTCTGAGATTCTTTCTTCTGCTGAACACAAAGGGAGATATTCTGAAGAATGCTGGAATAAACGCAGCCATTGGAGCATAGAGTATTTATTTTGTTCCTAGAAAGATACTCGTAAAGGTGTACAGCCACATGAGTGTGAGGAAATGATGAGGACATGTCCTTTTGAGTGTGTACTGTGCCTTTAAGTGAGGAATCAAAAGCACTGATTGACATTACACTGTGTTTCTCTCTGGATCATCACTGATGTGAATAATGCTGCTTCAATAGAGCCGTCAGAGCTGCTCAAGATGAAATCAAGACTTCCTCCCAGGAGAACAACTGAGAATCACTAACCAACTAAGCATCCTGACCTTCATCTGTGTGTGTGTGTGAGTACACTAGTGTTACTGTAGTG